GGGCTTCTTATGAGGATTTACTGGAACTGCATCAAATACCCCTAAGATTATGGCGCCGGGCTCCTACAAGAATCCAGAAAACAAGGAAAAAATAAATGTGAAATATTTGTGAAAAAAATGTGAAACCAAATGTGAATGGAAATGTGAAAAAATGTGAAAAAAATGTGACGAAATGTGGCAGAAAAACATTCTGTGAATACAGATGTAAATTTTGCAAAAAACAATAGGAAATTGTGAAAAAATGTAAAAAAATGCAAAAATGTGAGGAAATGTGAGAAATGTTGAGAAAATGTGAAAGGAAACCATGCACCAAGATTGTAAAAAAAGAAATGTGCAACACACAAATGAAAAATGCGAAAACAATATGAAAATGTGAAGAAAATGTGAAGAAAATGTGAAGAAAATGCGAAGAACATGTGAAAAGAAACAATGCACCAAGAGAAATGTGAATGAAAATGTGAATGAAAATGTGAATGAAAAAGTGGAAAATGTGACAAACACAGGCGAGAACATGAAAATCTTCAAGAATGCGGGGTGATATGAATACATGTGAAATTGTGATAGAAGCAAAGAGAACACAAGGTGCTGGAAATGTAAAGAAACTGCATGAACACGCAGTGGTGTGTGACAAATGTGAAAAATGAAACATACAACAAAAAAAGTGACAGCCCCATTCCAACCTTACAGTCGTGCGATTGCTTACACTAACAAAATAACAAACACTGCAAAACAGTACAAAACGTAAGCACTAATGATTCACTAATGTGAAAAACATGTGCTCAAACCATTCGCAAGCCGCAAGCATATGGCACATGGCATATGAACACACCTGATAAGGCAAAGAAACCATTGGTCCAGGTCAGCATCATACCACAGGCCATTTGTTCCAAATCAGCACCCCTCTCAGTAAGAAATAACAATAGCTCAGAGGGCTTTGGTAACGTGGTTACCTGGTAACCCAAACTCTTTTAATTAAGAAATAACATAGCTCAGAGGGTTTTGGTCACCCCAAACTCCTTGAACCAGCACCGCTCCCATTAAGAAACAATAATAGATCAGAGGGCTTTGGTCACCCCGAACTCAATTAATCAGCACCCTTTCCAATAAGAAATAACAATAGCTCAGAGGGCTTTGGCAACCCCAAACTCCTTTAATTAACACCCTTCCCATTAAGAAACAACAAAGCACCCCTCCCATTAAGAAATAACATTAGCTCAGAAGGTTTTGGTCACGCCAAACTCCTTCAATCAGCACCCCTCCCAGTAAGAAATAACAATAGCTCAGAGGGCTCCCCTCCGATTAAGAAATAACAATAGCTCAGAAGGTTTTGGTAACCCCAAACTCCTTTAATCAGCACCCCTTCCAATAAGAAATGACAATAGCTCAGAGGGCTTTGGCTATGATTTCTTATGCAGCTTGAAGTAAATGCATAGGATAAGGAAGCTATGCCACTCAAACCAACATGTTTCTAATCTGTGGTTCCCCCTAATGGCCTCACTTGCGAAAATCACGTTTTGATGATGTTGGATTTCAACATGTTCGCCTGAGATGCCTCAGATCTTCAAATAGTGTGCGCGACATTTGTGACCGTGTCTTAATTTCTTGAGCGCTGTCCAGAATATCTGAGAGTCTGGTTGCTCTTTGGCGGTGGTTTTAGTGGTAGTGGTGGTGGTGGTG